GAAAACTACAAAACCAAAAGTGTCCGACACTGAAAGATAATATAGTCCTGCAAAGATTTTGTTAAGAGAAAACTGTAGAAAGATGCTGATATTTAGGAATGTAATTTCACTTAGAAGTTTAAAAGGTTTATGAGATAAAAGTTAGCAAGAAGAGAACCTAAAATGATTCTAACTTGTAATCCACAATCTACAAACAGGTTGTGTTTTCTGTTTTCAGCAAGAGTTTTCGATCAGGAAAATTTATTTTCCCTTCTCTCGACTTCTCACATGGTATCAGGCTACGTTATCAAAATCCTAGAAAACCATGGAGAACCCACCCATATCATTCTCGGAGGTCAGTTCAGGCTCCGACTCCCCTTCCCTCCAGGCTCCAACTCAGACAGCATCTCTAAACTCTGACAGAGTCAAAGCTTCATGACCTACGCCAAGGGGAGTTGACTTCCAATCAATACTACAACACCATTACAAAGTATTGGCAGCAACTTGATTTATTTGACACTAACCCCTGGACGTGTTCAGATGATGCAGCATTATACAAGAAAATTGTTGCCCAAAAGAGGACATTCCCAATTCTTCTTGTTCTCAACAAAGAGTTGGATAGAGTTAGATGAGGTAAGGGGCAGAATATTAGGCAAAAGCCTCTTCCTTCCATCCGAGAGGACTTTACCGAAGTAAAAAAAAGAAGAGACCAGGAGGAAGTTGACCATGGAAGAACCTGCTGGTTAAATAGTGGCTGAAGGTTCAGCCCTGTACGCTCACACATCCTCACAAGGTAACAAACAAAGGAAGGCAAGCCCTGGTGTGATCATTGCAAAAAAAAAAACCTGGTCATTCGAGGGGAATATGCTGGAAGATACATGGCAAACCAGCATGATGGAAACCCAATCGAACTCGTCAGGTCAGGTATAGCCATATCAATATTGCTTATGTTTCCAACAGCAGCCATGAGAAGAATCCCTTCACTAAGGAGGAAGTTCGAAACATCATCAAGTTGTGTTTCAGAGTCTATTTCTACATGGATAGGTACATTCAAGTTGTGTTTGATTTCACTTAGAAGTTTAATTTATTTGTAACATGTCTATATTGTTTGATTAAGCTTTGTTTTCTTACGAGATAAGTTTTAGGAGATAAAAGTTAGGAAGAAGAGAAACCTAGTAGGATTCTAATTTGTAATCCCCAACCAATTAAAACAGGTTGTTTTTTCTGTTTTCAGCAAGAATTTTCGATCATGAAATTTTCTATAACCTTTTCTCAACTTCTCTCTTTTCAATCTCTAACTTACTCACAAAAATAAATCATGCAGCTTCCAATAAGGAAAAAAATAAAATTAAGCCTCAATACTGTCTAAGACAATCAATTCAACCCATCATGGAAGCTCCAAATAATAGACATGTCAATTAAGAGTTACGGGGGAGGGGGAGGGGGAGGGGGAGGGGGAGAGAGAGAGAGAGCTCTCCCCTATGAATTTTTCCTAATATTTTTTTATATCCTAGGAATCCTTTTTAACGCTAATGACTACCAACGAAAATGCACTAAATACCATGAAATTTCACAACAAATGATTTGTTTTCGTTAGAATGAGCATGTAACCAGACCAGACATAAGTTCACGTTACTTATTTCCTTGCTAAACGTTGGAATGTGTACAGAAACTTGCCTTGTTGTTTGGTGTAAGTAGTGTTTAAGTTAAACTCTTAATCCTAATTTATCTCTAAAAACTCTCTTAATTTGTAGAAAATATGACTCCTATTTTATCTAGGTCTCTAATTAATGTATATAAATACCCCATGTCCCCTCTTGTGTAATATGCAATTTTCTTTTGAATAAAAGTATTTCAATTCTTTCACTACCAGAAAAATCTGGTTATTTACATGGTATCAGTCGCCGACGTCGATCCCAGCCTTGTTGCCGCCGCCGTTTGTCGTCCTCCCAATCATAAAATTCCATCCTCCTTGTTGTACCACCACAACGTTGCTCCATTGAATCGCTGCACCCTTGGCAGTGTCGTCCTCATTGCAGTGTTGTTCTTTTCGCATTACAACACAACCCCGTTGCAGACTCATCCTCCTTGTTGCGCAATCAAAGCTGCTGCTCTTCTAGTCGTATTGCTCTCATCGCGCCGCTGGTCCAACATTGCTCTCATCACAGTGGTAATCTTTCCCCGCTGTTTGGTCACTGTTCGACCAGCCTAGTCTCCTCGTAACACAACCTTCAATTCCTTTTCTCGGTTATTATGGCGTATCCTTCTTCATCTAATCTTCCATCCGAGGCTGAAAATTCCATTATCTTATCCAGTCGTCTCCTTCCGACTCGGTTTCCTCATCCATTACTTGTTATCGTCTAAATAGTGAGAATTACATTGTTTGGTCTCAATCAGTGCATTTGTTCATCACCAGTCGCCAAAAACAACAATATCTCTCGGAAAATATGTTGGTCCCCGATCCTTCTGATCCCCAATATGACACTTGGCTCACTAAGAACACCACAATTATGTCGTGGCTCCTCAACTGTATGATGCTAGACATTAGCGCAAACTTCATGCTTTACATTACCGCCTCGGAAATCTGGAATATTGCCAAGGAGACACATTCCAATCAGGAAAACTCGTCCGCTCTGTTTTCCATTGAATGTTGGATCAATAACTTAAAGCAGGGCGATCTTACTGTTACGAAATACTTCACTTAGTTGTATCGCTTATAGTAGCAAATTGATCTGTTCGAAACTCCCGCTTGGCAAACCGGTGTAGATGCCAAACTCTACAAAGGTTTTTTTGAAAAACGACATATTTTTTAATTCTTGTCGGGGCTATCCGTCTCTCTTGATGATGTTCGTGGCCGTATTCTGGGCATCAGGCCTCTTCTGCCTCTTCGCGAGGTGTTCTCTGAGGTTCGCCATGAAGAAAATCGTTGGTTTCTGATACTTCCACCATCCGTTGAAAGTTCTACCTTGAATACCCATTCCTCCGGTGACACCCGTGTCAAGAAAGGCTGTCCCTGGTGCGATCACTGTCGGAAACCTTGTCATGTTCGCGATAAATGTTGGATACTACATGGTTGTCTGGCCAATTGGACTCCATCGAAATCTTCCTCGCGTCAATCCCACGTAACTCTATTGTAACAACATTAGAAGGTGGTTTCTTTTCTCATCAACAGCTGGATGATCTACGACAGATGTTTGGTCATTTACAGATTCCACCTGCTACTGAGCCCAAGTTTGCCTGAATTATTAGCGAAGGTAGTTCTCCTTTTGCCTCCTTATCCCCTTCACCCGGATATGTCTTTTGGATTATTTATTCTGGAGTAAGTGATCATATGACATGAAACTTCAGTTTATTTTCAATGTTTCACAAAAATGGTATCCCATGCAGTGCTCGTACTGCTGATGGCTCCCTATCACCAGTTAAGGGCAGTGGCTCAGTTCGCATTAATAGCTGAATTATTCTGTCTAATATTCTATTTGTTCCCAGTTTGACTTGCATTCTTCTTTTGATTAGCAAATTATCTATCGATTTGGGTTGTAGTTCTCATTTTACTCATGATAATTGTGAATTTCAAAATTTGACATCGGGGATGGTGATTAGCAATGCTAGGCGTCATGGCTACATCCTTGAAGCTCCTCCTTATGCTCCCATTTCAAACCACTCACTCGCACCATTTATTTCTTCCTTTGTTTAAATTTCTCCTACAGATGTGACCACCAACATTGTGTTATGGCATTTTAGGTTAGGTCACCCAAGTTTTCCTTATCTTGCAAATTTTTTCCCCAAATTATTTGTTTATAAAAACCCCCATCATTTTCTTATAAAATTTGTTCTATTTCAAAACATATTTGGAGCTGTTATCCTCCTTCTCCCTCCTTCTTGCCTAAACCTTTTTCCTTAATTCATAGTGACATCTGGGGACCTTCATGGGTTATGGGTTTACATGAAATTCGTTGGTTTATTACCTTTATTGATGACCAGTCTTGTATCACTTGGACCTTTCTTATGAAAGACAATTCTGAGTCTTCTATTATCTTCAAACGCTTCCACAAAATGGTTGAAACATAATTCTAAAGTTCCATTGGCATCCTTAAATCTGATAATGGTGGGGAACACCTCTCTCAGTCGTTAGGATCTTTCTTCCAGGAAAATATAATAGTCCAACTCACTTCTTGTGTCGATACTTTACAACAAAACGGGGTCACCGAACGTGAAAATCGTTATCTTCTTGAGGTAACCCATGCACTCTTTTTTTATTCTAATGTTCCGAAATACCTTTAGGGTGAGGTTATCTTAACAGCTACTTTTTTAATCAATTATTTGCCTAGTAAGATTCTTACCTTTAAGTGTCCACGTGATATCCTTTCCACTAAATTCTCTCATTTCAAACCTTTTACCTCTTCTGTTCCACTTCGTGTCTTTGGTTGTACTGCCTTTTTCCATGACCATAATCCTCATAAATCTAAACTTGATCCTTGGACAATTCAGTGTGTCTTTGTTGGTTATTCATTCCATCAGAAAGGTCATCATTGTTACTCTCCTTCTACAAAACGGTTCTTCACATCTATGGATGTCACTTTTTAATAGCATAAACCATTCTTCTTAAAAACAAAAATCCTGGGGAGAGTGAGTTTGAATTTCAATTTTTACCGATAATTACTGAGTTACCCATCATTCCATCTTCTACTGAAAAAACTACCACTCTATAACCTCTTAACACCACTACATCTGATAATGAAAACCAATCCATTAATCTCATCGACTCTCATAAAACACCCAGTTCATCTACTGATATTATCACCTACACAAGATGACGCAAACAAGCCCTATCTTTCACACCGCAACCAATGCATTGTCAAGAGCTAGAACCGGGTTTAAATCCATCGACAGACAAAAGATATGATTGCCAAAGTAAGTTAGATGTGGTAATTAATACTAGTGAGTTACCAATTGCTCAAAGAAAGGGAGTTATACGATGTACAACTCATCCAATTAGTAAATTTGTTGTTTACGGAAAACTAATGCCTCGTTTTAAGACTTTCACAGCTCAAGTTGATCATATTCACATTCTAGAAACCATAGAGGAGGCATTAAAAAGTTCTGAGTGGAATAAGGTAGTTGAAGAAGAACTTTCAGCTCTAGAAAACAACAAAACCTGGGTTATCATTGATCTACCTAAAGACAAGAAACCAGTCGACTGCAAATGGGTGTTTACTGTGAAATTCAAGGCAGATGGAAAAATTGAGAGATATAAGGCTAGACTTGTGACAAAGGGGTTCACTTATACTTATGGAGTTGACTATCAAGAAACCTTTGCTCCAGTTTCAAAACTCAACACTATTCGAGTTATATTATCCTTGGTAGTAAACAAGGATTGGATACTTCACCAACTAGACATAAAAATGTATTTCTCAATGGCAATCTTGAAGAAGAAGTCTATATGCAAGTTCCACCAGGAATTCATTCTAGAACTAACTGGGTATGTAGACTACTGAAATCCTTATATGGTGTAAAACAATCACCTAGAGCTTGGTTTGATAGATTCACGAAGGTAATATTACAAGACAACTACAAACAATGTCAATCGGATTACACTATGTTTGTAAAAACTGCTACAGATAAGAAGAAGTCAATCTTGATTGTTTACGTTGATGATATCATCATCATTGGTGATGACTTAGTATAAATCAAAAAATTGAAGACTTTACTAGCAAAGGAGTTTGAAATCAAAGACTTGGGAACTCTAAGATATTTCTAGGCACAGATGTAGCAAGATCACGAGAAGGAATCGTCACAAATCAAAGAAAGTATATTATAGACTTACTTTCTGAAACTGGAATGACTAATTAAAAGCCCTCGGAAACTCCTATAGAAGTTAACTTAAAATTAAGTAAAGATGAAAACCCAATAAATAGGGAACATTATCAGAGGTTAGTGGGTAAACTCATTTATCTATCTCTAACTAGACCTGACATTGTTTTTCCTATTAGCATTGTTAGTCAATACATTAATGATCCAAGAGAAGAACATCTGTAGATAGTCAATCAAATCTTAAAATATCTAAAGATGACACATGAACATGGGTTGATTTTTAGAAAACATGAAGACAAAATAGTTAAAATCTTCTCAGATTCAAGTTGGGTTGGAGAATTAACATATAGAAGGCCAACCTCAGGATATTGATCATTTGTATGGGGAACCTAGTAACATGTAGGAGCAAGAAACAATCAGTAGTCTCCAAGAGTAGTGCAGAAGTAAAATATAGGGCGATAACACTTGGGATGTGTAAAGGAATTTGGCTTCAAAGACTCTTAACTGAATTATAGATGTCGACAACAACTATTTTGAACGTCAAAGTGACAACAAATCTGCGATGAGCATTACAAAGAATCTGGTGCACCACGATAGATAAAAACATGTGGAGATCGAAAAACACTTGTTGTAGAAAAAGTAAATGGCGGAACTATGAAACTAAACTACGTCTCTTCAGAAAACCAACTAGCAGATGTATTGACCAAGGCACTTTCAATGATTACCTTTGACGAAATTACATCCAAGCTGGGTCTTCACAATATTTACGCCCCAGATTGAGGGGGAGTGTAAGTAGTGTTTAAGTTAAACTCTTAATCCTAATTTATCTCTAAAAACTATCTCCTAATTTGTAGAAAATATGACTCATATTTTATCTAGGTTTCATGTATATAAATACCCCGTGTCCCTTCTTGTGTAATATGCAATTTTCTTTTGAATAAAAGTATTTAAATTCTTTAACTACCTGAAAAATCAGGTTATTTATATTTGGTCCATTTTGACATTACATAAACAAGGGCATTTTGATGCCCTTTAACTGGGATGGTAACTAGAAAATTGATAAACTGTTCAACATTTGGGGTAGTCAAATGAATATGCAATTAAATAAATGCATCGGTGAGAATTTATCCATGAAAAAGACAGTGCAGATTGACATCTAACCATAACTCTCGAAGAACTGGAATACATTGTGAAGATAATAGAACCTTTGGACCTTTTTTTATAAAAGTAGAACATTATTCTCAAAATAAAAAGGGGAAACAAGTTCTAGGGTAGTTAATACATTCTCTTTCTCTTTTAGAATAAAGGCTTCTTTTATTGAATATATATATTTGTCAGGAATTAGATTCTTAAGTAAATTATGTATATCTAGTAGGATCTTTGTGATATATTTTATTAGTTAGGATCCCTAAACTTTAGGGATCTTTATTTATTCCTAGAATCAATCACTTACCTAGTTTAGCAATTTCCTAAGATAAGGCAGTAGCTTGTATATTTAAATGTATAAGTTTCCTACATAAAAATATAAGAAAGAATTACAAAAACTCCTTGTTTTGACAAGGTACCAAAGCCTCTCTAACTCTGTTTTTGGTTATGTTATTCATATTTAAGTCGCCCTTCTTTGTTCTTATCTCCCCTTTAGAGTGTGGGGTATCTGTCCTACAAAACGTATGGTTGATGGAGTTGATTCTAGTAGTTCAGAAGATGTTCGATGAGGCATAATGAATGAAGTAAGTCACCCTAATCCAATTAGTGACTTACAAAACATACAAGCTACCTATAGATTGAATGCTAAGAACTATCTTAAGTGGTCCCAATTGGTTCGAACCTTCCAAAAAGGAAGAGGTAAGCTCAGTCATCTCCTTGGAACTGGTCTTAAGGAAAGAGACCCTAGGTTTGAGGCTTGGGATGAACAAGACTCGCTAGTTAGTCTTGGCTATGGAATTCAATGCTGCCTGAGATAAGTGACACTTGTATGTTTCTTAGAATAGCCCATGAAATATGGGAGGCTACAAAACGAACCTATTCTAAGGTCTAAGATGCTGCCCAGATATATGAAATCAAGAGCAAGATTTCATCCACCAAACAAGGAAACCAATCAATTACTGAGTACTCTAACTTGCTGCAGAATCTTTGGCAGGAGATGGATCACTATCAATATATTGAAATGAAATACAGTGCGAATGCAACAATCCTAAAGAGGTTTATCGAAAAGGACATAATTTAAGATTTTCTTACTGGACTAAATATCCAATTTGATGTAATGAGAGTCCATATCATAGGAAAGGAAGACATGCCCTCATTGAATGAGACTATTGCTATCATTCATGTTGAGGAAAGAAGAAGAGGAGTGATGGTACTTGAAAACAGTCAAGTAGATAGTTCATCTTTGGTCACTAGGGTTGTAACTGAGGAACCAACACGCCTGGAGTAGCATAATTTTAAAGTTAGACCATAAGCAACAAGAGCAGTGAACATGGACTATTTATGGTGTACTTACTGCAAGAAGCCTCGCTACACTAAAGAGAAGTGCTGGAGGTTACATTGGAAGCCTTAGTCAGCAAGTAGGAACTTCACAGAAAAATGAGGTTCATCAAGAGGAAAAAGTAGAGCTTATACAACCAAACAAGTGGTTATGGAACCTGCAGAACAATCTATTGAGTTCATATGACTAATTCCTCCCTTAAATTTCTCACTTACACACCATCTATTGAGTTCAACAGGGAAGAAGTGGAAAAACTAACAAGTCTACTGGAATCCTTAGAGAAACCTTCTTCTACATTAACATACAATTTGATATTCTCAGGTATATCCTCTTCTTTTTCTAGGATTCTAATGTCTTAGAGTCATCCAACCATATACCTACCCAAAATCCGTGGATAATTGACTCAGGAGCCACATACCATATGACTAATTCCTCCCTTAAATTTCACACGTACACACCCTGTCCTAGTAACATTCAAAACACTACTCGTCCTCTACTGGTTTATTCAAGGAAAAAGACACATATGCAAATTCAATCATCCCCTTCTCCTTCTCCTATGCAATCTAAGGTACATTCTGAAACTCATTCTTATCAAAATGACTATGAAAATACTATGTCTACTTCTTATTTTGAACTTCTTATTGCTATTAGAAAAGGAAAAAGAACTTGTACCATAAAACATTCTTCTTACCTACTCACAACCTACAAAAACTTATCCCCCAATCACAGAACACCAGCCTAAATGTCATCACCATTCATAAAACTATATCTAAGGCATTAGAGAAGAACAAGAAGAAGGCTATGAAAAATTAAATGGAAGCACCAGAGAAGAATAAAACATAGGACCTAGTGAAGTTGCCAGAAGAAAAGAAAATAGTGGGATGCATATGGGTGTTTATAGTCAAGTATAAGTCAGATGGCTTTTTAGAACTGACAAAGCATGGTTGGTGGCAAAGGGTTACCCTCAAACCTATGAGGTAGACTACCTTGAAACATTTGCCCCTGTTGCAAAGATGGACACAGTGAGAATCCTATTGTCATTAGTTGTCATTCAAAGTTGGAATATGCAACAGTTTGACATTAAAAATTCCTTCTTACATGGAGATCTTGAAGAAGTTGTATACACGGATATACCACCTAGATTTGGCCCAACTACTAGAAAGAAGATCTGCAGATTAAAGAACACCATATATGGACTAAAGCAATCCCCGAGAGCTTTGTTTGAGAGGTCCACTAAAGTGATGTTGAGTCAAAGTTTTAAATAGAACTAAGGTGACCACACTCTGTTTGTGAAACATTTTCCTTCAGGGGAGTGACTGTACATTTTGCATACGTAGATGATATAATTGTTACAAGAAATGATTCTAAAGGAATGAGTAACCTAAAGAAGTGTCTTATAAAGGAGTTTGAAGTAAATGAGCTTGGAATATTAAAATACTTCCTTGGTATTGAAGTGGCACGCTCATAGCAAGGGATATGTTGTTGGAGTTGTAAGCTAGTTCATGCACAATCCTAAGGAATCACATCTAACGGATGTGACTTAATTTTTACAGTACTTGAAGGGCACACCAGGGAAAGGAATTTTGTGGTAAGATCCAGTACATAAGCTGAATTTCGAGCTATGACACTAGGAATTTGTGAGTTACTATGGTTGAAGATTATTTTAGAGGATTTTAAGGTCAAATGAAATGGACCAATGAAACTATATTGTGATAACAAGTCAATAATGAATATTGCTTAGAATCCAGTTCAACATGAAAGAAATAAACATGTCGAAGTGGATAGACATTTTATAAAAGAAAAACTTGACAATGACCTGATCTGTACTCCCTATGTGACCACTGGAGATCAAGTTGAAGACAAACTTACCAAGGGGTTACCTAGTAAGTATTTTCAGAAATTGACAGACATGTTGAGGATGGAAGACATCTATGGCCCAGCTTGAGGGGGAGTGTAAGGAATTAGATTCCTAAATTTAGTAGATTATGTAAATCTGGTAGGATCTTTGTGATGTATTTTATTAGTTAGGATCCCTAAACTTTAGGGATCTTTATTTATTCCTAGAATCAGCCACTTACCTAGTTTAGCAGTTTTCTACGATAATGTAGTAGCTTGTATATTTAAATGTGTAAGTTTTCTATATAAAAATATAAGAAAGAATTACAGAAACTCCCTGTTTTGACAATATTTATAGGTATG